AGGTGCTATTACATAGGAATCAGGTGGGAAAGTACTCAGAGTGTAATGAGGGCACCTAGTGAATGCCAAGTCTTGACATAGGACTCTTGCTCTAAAAATATATCAGCAAAGCATGGGGGAGAAGCACAGCTGGGAGAGGTTGCCCATCAGAACCTAAGTAATCATAGCTGTAATTCTCAGTTTTCTTCAACCCTCCACCAAAGCCAGACAGTGCTTGGTGCAACCTTTGAGAAGGGAAGCTTGTCAGGAATAACAAAAATTTTAAATGTGTGACATTTATTTTTCAGAATTCTACTTTTAGGAGAGTATTCAACAGAAATAATCTGGTTGGAGCACAAAGACCTGCATAGGCGATAAGCAAGTTGTGATCACAGAAAATCAGAAGCAGTTTAAAATTTGCCATCAAAGTGACTGGCTATGCAGGGCCTCCTGAAATGTAATGGAATTTCTATATCTATAGGTATCAACATGAAAATATAAAAGTTACTTTAGTTTCTAAACCGAAGGCACAAAACTGCCCCCTCAGCTCTGATGACTAAAGAAGCATGGGTGGAAGTAAGTGTGTGATGTACATGGAAGGAAGGCTTTGGCGTCAGTCCCTAGTTTTGCCTGGTCCTGCATGAGGAAGGGTGCCAGCCACCCCCTTGAGCAGAGGGACTGGAGGAGAGGATCTGAGCATGGGTTTTCACCTCTTAGACATGTTTCTCCCTCCCCTGATTTAAAACAAAAAAACAAAACAAAACAAAACAAACAGTGTGATGATTCCTGCATTCTTCTTCTTCTTTTTTTTTTTTTTTGCAAAAATACCAGGCAGATGGTGTATAGAGTCCACCATGATGTCCCAGGGTGGGTGCAGTCACTCTTGTGGTGACCTCCAGCATCAAGGGCCTGCAGTCCTGGATTGTACTGGGTGGACCAAACCTCCCGACCAGTCTCAAGATAGTATTAAAAGGCACTAAAGCCGGGTGTGGTGGCACATGCCTGTAATCTCAGTAGCTTAGTGAGACTGTGTTTCACAACAAAAACTGTGGTGTGGCTCAGTGGTAGAGGGCCCCTGGATCCAATCTCCAGCCCCACAATAACACAAAAGGCTTTGAAGCTGCTGCTCCTCTTGCTGTGGTTGCTTTGGCCAATTACTCCTCCATGAGGGGTGGTGGGAGTGAGAAGGGGACACAGGGTCTAGGGAAGTTCCCAGGCCTCAACTCACCATCTGCTGTGGAAACACAGGATGCGTCAGATGCTTTATTGTCACTGTCTGGCGAGGGGATGGCGACTATGTCTCTAGGCCTTGTGGACCTGAGTGGGGCTGTCTGCAGCACAGTAGGAAACTAGATGCAGCAGGGAGCCTGGAACAGGAGTGGGTGCCAGAGCCACCAGACCTGCTGCCATTGCCTGGCTTTGGTTCCAGCTGCATGTGTCCAGCACACGTGGCCCTGGGGCTTCCAGGTCAGGCTGCACAGGATAGGACATTCCCAGCAGGCAGTGTACAGTTGAGAAGGTTGTGTTCCCTGGACCCCTGGAGCCAAGCTCTCTTATCTAAAGCAGGATCAGTGCCAGATACTCTTTGTCGGGCTTTGGTATTCACCCCTGAGACTAAACTCTCCAAAGCACCATGTGCAGAAACCTAGTGTTGGCCTCAGTCCCCTAGAGAGGCCTCAGCTGATCCCAGATGAGGGCATGATGCCACTTCTTGTCCTCACAAGTCCCGGACCCTCCCTATGTGCCCACCTGCTTCAATAAAGGAGCCCCAAACACTCTCCATGGCCTGCTGACCCCTGCACTGAGCTAGGTGCTGGGGCACAGGCTTCAGGGACCCTTAAGTCCCTGGACCACTTCAGACCCAGAGCAGAGGGTGTTTCCCATTACAGGCTGTGCCTGAGGCTAGGCACAGCTTCTGTCTCCCTGCTGGGGCTAGACAAGGTGGGAGACTGTGCCCTGAGTGGGTGCAATGGGAAGCCATCCTGGAGGAACCTGCTATCAACTGCCTGAGGAGCCTTGGCTCCTGGGTGGTGAGTTTAGAGGGCTCCCTGCACACAGGTGAGCCCATGCCTCCTTACCACCCAACTGGGCTGGGGAGGCTGAAGTCAGGGTCCTAAATATCTAGTAACTGGCATATTCAGGGCAGTTATGCAGGGGGTGCTTTCTGTTCCCACTGCCCATGCACACACACTGAACTCATGGCAGTCACTTCTGGACACCTGACGTGCCCGCTGGTTGGCCCTAACAACCAGAGAACCCACCAGCTCTTGTGCAGAAGAGGGGTACATAATGGCAGAAGGCTGAGCTGGGCACTAATTTTTTCCAGGGTGGCGCAGGTTGGAAAGTCCCTTAAACCCATGAACTCTGTGAACATAATAAAAACTTAAATATCACTTTTAATTTATCATAAATATTATATTTCTTGTTTAAGTTTTTTATAGATGTCCCACCTCTGGGATGATGGGTCAAAGGGGATGTTGAGGCCTGGTACTTGGGTGAGGTTGTGATACCAGGGCTGCTGAGGAGGTTGGTGACACCAGTCTTCTCAGGCTATGTCCCCTTGATGACTAGAATGAGGGGCCTGATTGCAGAAGAGTCCCAACTTTGTTAGGAAGGAGGTCCTGGTAAGTGTTTAGGGTCAGAGGGGACCCCAGCCTTGCCCGAGGGTTGTAGCAAGTGAGGAGCCTGTGCACCTTCCCTCCCCAAGAGGAGAAAGAAGTGAGGTAGGTGGTGAGGAGAGTCAGGTGAGAAGCCAGGGACCTCAGGGCAGGCTGGTGGGCTCTCCACAACTCCCTTCCATAGCCTGCTCTGCTGGCCAGTGTCTGTCGAGGCCCCACTGGGGAGAGCAGGGCAGGTGCTGTCTGAGCATTCAGATCTCTGAGGAAAGAACCTGCTACATGTTCTGTTGGGAGGTAGTCTCTTGAATAAAGAATATATGATTCCTGAGGGTTGACCAGCTGACCCAGGCATCATCCAAGTTACAGGCAGTGAGGGGAGGCAGGCCTCAGGCTTGGCTCTGAAGTAGCTTCACAGCTGGGTGAGGCCTGGCCCTTGCTCTTCTTAACCCTGTGCTCTTGGATCCAGCATGTACAGAAGTTCTCCCAGCTGAGATTCTGATGTGGGTGGGCAGGCCCAGCCCTAGACAGAAGGTGACGCCGGGGTTTGCATGCGCTATCTGTGCTGTTCCTGCTGCCATCAACACCACCCCACGTGATGCTCAGGGGTGCCTCTGTCCCCACATGGCCAATTGTCCCTGCTCCAGCCAGTGGAAGGCTTGGCGTTTCTCCATGGTCCCTGGCCTGCCTCACAGCAGCACTGGTGTCCGCCAAGGATCCTGCTCACTTGAGGTGGTGGCACAGAGCCCAGGTTCTCTGAGGTTGCTAGGAGTTTGAGCCCTGGAACACCAGGAAAGAGGAGCAATGGCTTGGACTTCCAGAGGCTCCTGCTTCAGCCTGGCTTTGCAATGGTTGTATAACCAGGACCATGTAACCGCATGGCCCCTGGAGGCTGGGAGGTGGCCAGCTCTCAGGCTGGTGATCAGAATGCAGCAACCTGGACAGCAGAAATGACCTTGAGTGGTGTGTCTAGTGTCCTGTAAGGGCCACTTATGTGTTCACTCTCCCAGAGTCCTTCTGGTTGGAAGTGCCGAAGTGCCACACCAAGGCCAAAAAGCATGTCAACCACCAGTGGAACCTGGCTCCAGACTCCTAGTCCTGTATTCTTAGGTGCGCCTTGGACTGAGCTCCACCATTACCTGATGAGGTAGGCACCCCAGACACTGAGGACCAGCAACCCCCAGCTGGCACTGAGGCTCACGGAGCTGTTGCAGAGGTCTGTGTTGCAACAGGAAGCTCTGGAGTAACTCAGGCTCTCTTGGAAGCCAGGGCAGGTGTAAGCACATGACTTTATAACAAGCGTTTTCTGTCCTGGGGGACCTGGAAGAGGCAAGATAGACAGCTGTTTATTGAGACCTGTGGAATCCGCTCCTGCCCCTCTCAAAACACTCAGGCCTCCCAACAGCCTGCCTGATGCTTCCTCCTTGCTCTCCCACCCCTACAGGGAAGCATGGCAGGAGGTGACCAGGGTCAGGGCCCAGCATGTGACCACCACCAGGGCTTCTTCTACCTGCTACTCTACTTCCCCTCCCTCTTCCTTTCTGAGTAGCTGGTACCCTTGGGAACAATCTGAATTGTTGTGTTTCCCGTGCAGCGTGTGGAGTGGACAGAATATCCTGTCTGCTCTTCCACTTGGAAGAAAGCAGCAGCGTTGTGCCCATTTTTCAGGGTAGAGACAATCACAGTGTTTAACCTGAACAATTGCTGGCCAATCTCAGTGCCTAGGTTAGAAATGGGGGACTTCCCAGGCTCGCCTTTTTGCTGGAGGCTCCAGGTGCCAGATCCACATCTCACCCCACACCACCCTGACCCCCACCTGCCTGGAAGGCAGATACTCACTGTTCCAGGTCGTCAGGCAGTATCGGGCATCGGCCCTGCAAGACGTAGGCTGGAAGCAATTTCCTGATGCCAAGCACTGGTGACACTTTAGGCTCTGGACTGGAGGAGAGATACTTCGGTTCAGGGACCCAGGCCTCCCACTCCACAGTTATCGACCCCACAGGTGTGGACCCTGCTTTTTGGAAAGCACCCACCTCCCAAACCCTCCACCTCACTCTGACTCCCCCATCTGCCTGCCCACCCTGGCAGTCAGCCCACTGCTGGTTCTGGGAGCACACCAGAAGTCATAGCACCATGCATTCTCTAGGGCAGGAAACTCAGGCTCTGAGCAAGTCCTGCCCTGTGCCCTGACTCCTTCCTCTGGGCAGCAGAGGGGCACATCATTCTGGGGGCATGTCCACGTACATCAGCCCAGACTCTCAGGATGGCAGCCAGGGTCCTCAGAGCCCTGGGGACACAGTGCAGGGCACCCACAAGCTTACCTGGCCATGCCAACAGGAACAGAGGCAGCAACCAGAGCAGGTGTCGCATCCCTAGTCCAAGCAGGTAGGTAGGCAAGTGTACAGAGCAAATGTCTGGCCTGCATGAGGCCAGCTGACTTTTATAAGCCCCCGCCAGATGTGGTGGGTGGGGTGTCAGTCCTAGCTCACTCCTAGCTAATGACATATGTTGTCACGGGGGTGTGGTTAGATGATGAACACTTCTGGAATTCACCTGACTGGCCCAGGCCTCCGCCAGCCACTGGACCTTACTTCCCCACTTCCCTCTGTGGGCCAGGACAACCATGCTGCTCTGCCTCTTGCTGGGGCCCCTCCCTGGCAGCATAATCTGCTCCACCACTGCAGACAGGGTCAGAACCACAGGGAAGCAAGCATCTTCCCCATTCTGGATGCTGAAGACTGAGGGCAAGGTGCCTGCAGGGCTGGCTCCTCTGAGGCCTCACCTTGCCATCTTCTCTCTGTGTCCTCCCATGGCTGTCCCTCTATGTATCTATGTCCTGACGTCCTTTTCTCACAAGTGCACCAGGAGGATTGGATCAGGGCCACCTTAGTGACTTCATAGCCTGTGTCACCAATTTAAAGACCTCATCTCCAAACAGTCACACTCTGAGGGACTGGGCAGTCAGGGCCTCAACATATGAATTTGGGGGACACAGTTCAGCCCATGACACAGGGGCTGGTCTTTTTTCATGCGAGGGTGTAGATGTGATACACAGTCACTGGGTGCTCTGTGGGACCGGTTAGCCACAGCCTCCCCAGAGGGGACATGGTAGGGGCCCAGTGTGACTGACACTGGCCAAGGAGGGTTGAGAGGTGTCACATTGATGTGCCTCACCATGCCTCACCACACCATGGGCTGTAGGGGGACTTATTTTGTGTCCGTACAAGAATGAAGAGGACACAGTGTGTACCTTCTGTCTGAATTTCAAAGGTGCAGAAACACCAGAGGGAAGGATATGACTGGGTATGAGTGTCCCTTAGAAATCAAGGGAGTCAAGTGCTAAGACAGAGCCCTCCTGATGGCGGGGGCATGACTGCATACCCAGGGGGTCTCAGCTGGACACCCACCCCCTGTCCACCACCAGTAGAGACTGGATTCCACAGGCTGTTAGTGGCCCTGAGCCAAGGACTCAGGCCCAGGTGCCTTTGACCTTGGGAGATTCCACAGTTTACCACTACTGGCCAGACCCCTTCCACCCCAGGAGCCCAGATGGCCAGAGGCTGTTTGCTGCTGCTAATCGCAGAGGCAGTCAATTGAGCCCAACCCGCCTCTCCAGAGCCCCTTGAACCCAGGTGTGGGGGTTCTGGGAATGAATTGCACAGCATGGCTGTTTCTCTTCGAGAGTTTGGGAAGCTCTATACACCTGAGTCCAGACCCACACTCTCAAGCCTGGACTGGGGCCCAAGCTGCATTTTGCCTAGTGCCACAGAGACTAGGAGGAAGTGCTCCTCTGGATTGCTATAGGTTCTCTCCTCCCTGCCTTCAGGTCCCCTTCTATTGCCACCATGCCTAGCCAGGACTCCTTGGCCCTGGGCACTGACACCTCACCAAGTACCTCATGGATCCAGAAGCCAAGGTGCCCTGTGGGTCAGACCCTGCCCTACGCCATGTAGCAGGTAAGAGATGGATGGGTCCATGGAACCCAGGTCCTTGGCTCCTCCAACATCGCCGGCAGGGCTATTTCCCCTTGCAAGTGAGAGATAGAAGATGAGTCCAGGAACACATCACCTCCATAACCAGAAGGGAAAATAGGGGTGAGGGGCAGGCACCTGCTGGGGATGCTGGGGGTGGGGAAAGGGTCTCTGGAAGGGTTTTAGTTTCCACCAGCCCTGTGTGGCCTGACAGGGTTCTGGTTCTGACAAAAAATAAAAAATAAATAAATACTCAGTGTGCCATGTGTGGGAATTTGGTCTTTCTTTTAAACTACCAGGATTCCCGATGTGAGTAATGAACCCATTTCATGGAAAAGGAAACTGAGGCCCTAAGGGGGGATATGACCAGCCAGGTCACACCTGGGTGTGAGGATTGCCCTTCACATAGGGGACTGCATCTTCCAGTCTGTGAGGAAACAGATATCCCTGGTGTTGTGGGCTCATATCTGCTCTCTGTATGGGGATAGTCATCACCCTCCTGGGGACCCAGAAGCAATAGGTATGCTGGTGACCGAAGAGACGCCCCCCCTAGCCTGATGGACTGGTCAAGATTTCTGGGAGCAGCTTGGGAACACCCTACATGATTGAGCCTAGACTTGGCCAGCAGCCAGGCTCAGCAGTGACAGGAGGGGGAAGACCTGCTTCCAGCACCATCTAATCTCCCTGATTCCTCCCAGTATCCTAGGAGACAGCTGACCTCACTGCGCTTCCCAGGGAGGGAGTTCCAGCCACCTGTCTGCGTCATGTTATGGGCTAGCGGGAAAGGCCAGGGGTCAGCCAAGAGGAACGGTACATTCCGAGAAGGGAGTCAAGACAATACCGGGACTAGTCACAGGTGACCAGCCCAGAATTTCTGCTTATCATGTCTGTGTTGTAACTGAGCTTCATCCCCTAGGTAACCTGAACAGTACAGCAGGCAGCTGATAGTTCTGTAAACAGAAAAATGCCCTAGAGACATCCTAGTTCTAACCCTGTGGACCTGTGGCCACATTCCTTCACACGGCAAGGGGACTTTGCAGCTGGGATGAAGCTAAGGATCTGGATGTGGGGAGGTGATTCTGGATTGTCCAGGGGCCCTGATGTCATCACAGGGTCTTTGCAGAGGGAAGTAAGAAGCCAGAGGTCAGAGACAGGGATGCGAGGACAGAAGCAGAAAAGGGACACTCCAGAACAGCCCCTGGAAGTTGGAAGGAGCAAGGGCAGAGCTGTCCCTCTGCCTGTGGGAGGAACCGATCAGCTACACCTTGATTTCAGCCAGAAAGACCCATTGCAAGCTTCTGACCCCCTGAAGTGACAGACCATAGTCATTACTTTTCTTGTTGTTTGTTACACTGGCCACAGGAGACCAGGTTGTTAGGGTCCTGCCTCTGGACCCAGAGAAAGATAACCAGCCTAGAAGTTCTGCAGGGGAGGTTGCTCATGACCCCAGTGACAGGAGCAGGGTCAGATCATGGAGGCAGGGGACTCCTCAAAGGGATCTGACCTCTGTCAATGGAGAGGCCGCTGCTCCCAGAGAGCCCTTCCCATTTCCTGCCCTGGGTGCTCCCCAGCCATCCCTCTCTGGCAGGATTGCGGTCCTGACAGTCGCCCTTTGAGTCACATCTCTCCCATGCAGCCAGTCCCTGGCACTTCCTCCACACAAGAAGTGACAGCTGCCTATCCCACCTGGCCCCTTGGTCTCTGGGATCTAGGTCACTGTGACCTGGAGCACACCAGGGAGGCTTCAGCCAGGAACAGCACTGAGACAAAGTGTGTTGGTTTGTTTTTAATAGAACTTTGTTTCTGTGGTAAAACGCACGTCCCATCTAATTGACCAGTGACCACTCTTGAGTGTACGGTTAGTGGCATAAGCAGCCCATCCTCAGGACCTCCTCATCTTCCCAGACTGAAGCTCCATCCTATTAACACTAACCCCTCCCTGACCCCCGCCCTAGCACTCATCACCCACTGCCTGTCCCCAAGGCTCCTAGGGACCTCAGAGGAGTGGAATTCCTGGCTGGTCTCACTTGGTGCAGTTTCTTCGTGGTTCTTCCATGTTGTGTTGTGTGTCTGCATTTCCTCCCTTTTCACATGTATTTTCATACATGTACACGTTTATAACTGATCTTCTTGCTGACTGAAGCTTTACTGGTATACACTGTTCTTCTTTGTCCCAAGTAACCTTTTTTGATCTGGTCCATTGTGACTCCTATTAGAATAGCCATCCTTGTTCTCTGCGAGTCACAACTTACTGGATTTTTTTCTGTCTCTTTGCTTTCAACCTGTTTGTGTCTCTAGATCTAAAGTGAGTCTCAGGTGGGAGATGTGGTTCAGTGGTAGAGCACTTGCCTGACAGGCACAAGGCCCTGGGTTTGAGCCCCAGCACAGCAAATAAATAAAAATAAATACATAATAAAAATAAAGTGAGTCTCTTGCAGAGAGTATATAATTGGATCAAGGGGGATATATTTTTTTCCATTCTGGCAATCTCTGTATTTGGATTGGAGAGTTTAATTCACTTACATTTAAAGTAATTACTGATAAAAAAGATTAGTTTATGTTAATAGTAACAGTGATTCTTTTATGGTGGTGGTGATAGTGTTAATGGTGGTGATGATGGTGATGGTTGTGGTGATAATGATAGTGATGACAGTAGTGGCGATGGTTATAAGGGTGTGATGGTATTAAGGAAGGAGATGATAGTAGGGATGATGATGATGATGATGATGATGCTAATTATGGTGATGATAGTGAAGGTTGATGGTGACGGTGATGGGGGTGATGATGGTGGTATGGTGGTGGTGCTGGTAATGGTGATGGTGGTGGTGATGATAGTAAAGGTGGTGTTGGTGATGGCGGTGGTGATGGTGTTGGTGATGGAGGTGGTGATGGTGGTGGTGATGGTAGTGGTAGGGATGGTGGTGGTGGTTATAGTGGTGTTGCTGGTGCTTGTAATGGTAATGGGGATGGAGGTGGTGGAGGTGGTGATGGAGGTGGTGGATGTGGTGATGGAGGTGGTGAAGGGAGTGGTGGAGGTGGTGATGATGGTGGTGGTGGAGGTGGTGATGATGGTTATAATGGTGTTGCTGGAGCTGGTAATGGTAATGGTGATGGTAATGGTAGTGAAGGTAGTGGTGCCTCTGTTATTAATGAAGGTGATGGCAATGGTGATGGGGGCAGTAATGGTGGTGTGATATTAATGGTGGTGGTGATAGTGGAGATGATGGGGATGGTGGAGACAGAGCAATAGTGGTGATTTGCTAACAGCAGTGGTGGTAAAGGCAGTGAAAGAGTGTATCATGGTTTCAGCTGCAGTTGGCATGAGTCAATGCTAGGTGGTGGTTAAAGCTCAATCTTCAGGATCCTTAACACTTGGACTTGAATCCCAGCTCCAACTCT